TTTTTTTTTTTTTGAGTGAAGATCCAAAGTAGACTTCCTAGGAATTGGCGAGATTTCACAAAAATTAGAGATGAAATTTGTCACGAAGAAGAAGATATAGTAATGGGTATGATTTACCTAGTTTTATATGTAGTTCCTCAATAGACACAATCAAAATGATACAATAGTCTGAAGGGACACAAGAGTTGAATAAGTGGGTTTAAAAGTAAAAATAAAAGATAAAAAAAATAAAAAATACAAAGGAAACATGAAAGTAAATTCCTAAACTCTAAAGCTGCCACATAGGCGGGCCTAGAATTCTCTTTTATGTATTTTCTGTTTTATAGAAAATGAAGAGATGACGACCAAGGGTAAATCTGTCATTTACCTCAAAGAAAAGACAAAATAGAGGGCAAATCCGTCATTTACCTGAAAGACGAATTAGCGTTTTCTCAACATTTCTAGAAGAATCCATTCTATCATATCTTTGTTCCAACAATGGAGAAACATCCGCTCCTTCACAAGTATTCAGAAGTCTCTTTTCTCCGAACTTGAATTCAAGACCCGCTCATTAACTTCATCTTCTCAGCTGGGTGTGCAATTTTAGGTCAGCTTTTGTTTCAATATTTGCCCTAATCTACTTGTGGAAAAGATTAAATTTTACAATTTCATAACTGAGTTTGAGATTGTTGTTGTATTGTTATATTCAACTTTTGGCGCAGGTGGAAGAGGTGTTGTCCATGGTTAACATATCCAGATCCCCGGTCATGTTTGTGGGATGTGGTTAATCGCACACACGGCAAATTCAGTTTAGTTTTTCTCCCAATTTTTTCTTAATCTTCTCCTGGTTCTGTCATATTTTCCAATTTATGAGTTAAGTTCAAGTCTACTATTGTTATTGTTCTGCCTTAACTCTCTCTTTGATGTTCTGCCACATTCATTGCTTTTTCTCGAAATAGAGAAATTGAATAATGGAATCGAAAATTAATAGTTTCTTCAATTCTTTTTCTTTTATCCCCAAAAGTGTAGACTCATCTAAATTTTGCAGTGATGAATTCAACTATAAGAGGGTATGGAAATATGTTTTGCTTACATACCAACGAAGACCTCGAAATTCATCTGGGTATAATGTAAATTACTTCTTCTCCGTTTTCCATCATTGAATTACTCTTTTTATCTTCTTCTCAAGTGTTTGATTGGTAGTAGAGATGGACAACTCTTTCTTTTTTGTCTCTATCGCATAAAAAATAGACTGCTGCCTTCTCTGGTGTCGGAAAGAGCTTGGACACTACACTCTACAACACAAATTCAAGTGCAGGGGCAGATTTCCTTGCCCCTTTTGTAACAATCACAATAGGTACTATCATGCTTTCATTTCAAAATTAGCTTTAATGTTGAAAATTCGAGGTTCCTGAATAACAATGGAATGTTTTTACTGATCGGCTCTAATGGTCTATATCCTTAACTTACTGATTGTCTTCGAGTATGATGTAAAGACTTGATTGAATAGTACAGTGAAGGATGTTTGCTAAAATAAATGAATAGTAGACCTATTTGCTTGAGGGAAGTGTTGATACATATACGGATTAATTAAGATTGGAGCTCTATTGATTAACTTCGATTCTTGAATCTAAACTTAGTGCAACATTCTAATAAAGATACTCCTTTGATTATGAATGAAGAATGACAATTATATTTCTATATAGCACTCTAAAAGTCTTATCACCATTTTGTCTGTTGAATTTGTTTTCTCCATTGTTTTTAAATCACACAATCTCTTGTGTCTTTCATGTTGGCTACTGAGAGAGAACCAGTTAACTATTGTTAACTAATACTGATTCTCACCTTATCTTCTACTACTACTAATCATGGTAAAAAAAATGTAGTTTGGTGTACACATTAGGTGTCGATAAACTTTTTCCTTCAAACTGTTCCAGCAAAGAAGGGAAGTGTTGGAGCAACAGTAAAATTTTCTTTGATTCAAGTCGTGGATCAACCACTTATGCTTGTGTCAAGGTAGGTTGCCTACACGGGCTACATCCCGCCAACATTATATTTCATAGAGCTTGTGTGCACTAACCAAACAACCCTGCCCCTCCGTCCACAACAATTAGCACACACACCTAATAACAAGGACATCACAGTAAAATCACTTTGTCATCGTAATCAAACAGACCCCATGGAATATAGTTGGACTGGTTATTTTTTTCTTTAACTTCTTTAATAA